CCCACTCGGTGCATCTCGGCGGCGGACGCGGCGTCTCCTCCGCGGCCGGCCGCGCCTCCCGGCCCGGTTATGACCGCCCCGCGGCCACTCGGAGGGGCGGGCGCGCCGCGCTGGAGCGAGCGGGCGCGTCGCGGCCCGCCGCGGCGCCGGCCGGCTCCGCGGCGTTCCCCGCGGCTCCGGCGGACGGTCCGCGGGGGACGCGAGGGCTCGTCCGGGCGCTGACGAATTGGCCGTTTCGGCGGGAGGGCGGCCGGCGCGCCGGCGCGAGCGCAGGGGCGCCGCCGAGGCGCGCGCTGCACAGGTGCGCCCGCCGCCGCAGACCGACCGACGCCGGCCGGAATCCGGCCGGCCTGTTGGCTGTCACTGGCCACGGCCGGCGGCGGAGGCGGCCGGGCTGGACGGCGCTGGCAGGAGGAATGGCCACGGGAGGGGGTGTTCGTGCATTCTGCTGGAGCGGGCGGGGGAGGGGTCCGTGCAAGTGGCCAGGACGTGCCGTCCGCGGACGCGGCACCTCGCCAGCCGTGGGCCATTACTCATCGGCGTCTATCTATGCATGTATCGGCGGCGACCATGCGGACCTTGTTTGGTAAGCGGCCGGCCGGCGACAGCCGACTTTTCCAGAGCGGTCCGGCCGCCTCACGCCATGAGGCGAGCGTGCGCGCAGCCGGGTCGTGCCGGCCGGCCGGCGTTCCCACCAAAACCGGCGCGGCGGCGGCGGACGCGGCGCGGCGCACGGCGGCATGACGGGTCGCCGTGTCGCGAGAGGGCACGCGCAGCATCTGTCACAGGCGCCGAGGATCGCCGCACGCCGTCCCGCCTCGCGGCCGCAGGAAGCTCGCCCTGCCCGTGTTGTGGCGGCGGCGGCAGCGGCGCGGGCCGTTCTCGGCTGTTTTGCGGACGGCGTGTACCACGAACGGGATGAGCTGTCGCCGTCTGGAGCGTTGCGTCAGACCGCACGCCTGACAGCCGTTGCCGCCGCCGCCGCTGTTGCCTTGCAAAGCACGTTGCCATCTATGGACCGAAGTGCCGGCGCTGCGCGACTGTGAGGCATTGTCAATTTGCTCTGGACGGCGCTTGTTGGTCTGCACACCACGTCCCGGCAAAGCCCTTTAAGGGCGTGCGCTGGGCCGATCAAAGGCGACCTATGTGAGTCGGCACTTAGCGGCTGGGCGGTACCCGAGAGTGGTCTGCGCTCCGGCTGTCATGGCACCGGCGTCTCTCGCGGCTCACAAAAACACACACGCGGCCAGGCGCAGGCCGACAGTCTCTCACCTGGCGCTATCTTGTTTCTCGCTCTCTGCCGTTACGCGCGCTCGCACCCGGGCCTCGTATCCCACCCGTGTTGCTCGGGCCTCCCGCTACGCTGCCGACCTCGCCCAGGTGTCGGCCGTCGGCGACAGGTGTTCGCCGTGGCCGCGGGGCGTCGCCGGCCCAGAGACGCCGTATACGGCCGTGTAGGGCCGCCCGCCCGCCGCCATCGGCCGCCGGCCGACGCGGCGCAGCGTGCACGGCCCTGCACGACCGCGACGCTCCGGCGTTTCCGGTGGGCCTGACCGGCGGTGACCCGCGGCGCGCTGGCCCCGCCGGCGGCAGGCGAGGTCGCCGCGAGAGGGCGGGGCGGCTGGCCGCTGCCCCGGCCGGCCCGCTCCATTAGTAACAGCGGACAAGTGGGCCATCGCATCATCGCGGCGCCGCAAAAAACCGCCCGCCGCGTCGCGTTTAAATGGCCGCAGCGAGACGCGCCCATGACTGATGACCGTTAGCGCGGGAGGCGTCACGGTGGCGAACTTGTTATGCACAGTGGCGCTGCCGGCGGCTGGCCATCGTGGGAAACATTAGCAGGTGCGATGCGGCCCCGTGGCCTTGTGTACAGGCGTTGAAATGGAGGATGCGGTTCGTCAAAAAGTGGTTGTGCCGAGTGGATAAGCACAGACGCCGTCGGGGTTATCGGTCTGCCCTTGGTGAGAGCAGGCTGTCTTGTCTTGGTGCTCATTTGGTGATGCGATCTTGTTGAGAGCGGTGTGGCTGTCGGGCTCCGGCCTGTTTTGTTGGTGGTTAGTTCCCGATGTTTTGTGTAAGCATCGTTACCTCTCGTTTGCGCCGCCAGCCCAGAGCGTGATTGATAGGGCAGATTATGATTAATGAGGTAACGCAAGCACCCTGCGTGGGCGTCATTGTTGCCTTTTTGTTGCTAGTTTATTTTTCATCCTTTATTGTTTCCGGTTGCAAGCCCGTACTGATATGTCGCCAAGTCATCACCGGGTAGCAGCGTGATTAAGGAAGAATCAGCTCCGCTTGCGAGGACCGCGGTGGTCCCGGCCACGAAATATTCAGATCAGTGGGGGGCGAAAGCGCGGCGTAGATGTGGGGTTGCGTGGCACGCCCTGGTTTGTCAGCGCCGGCCACATCCCCGGCCCTTCTCACCGCTGAGCGGATGTTGAGGTCGCTAATGTGGCCGTTCAGTTCCGTGCCGCTGTGTGCTGGCGCAATGGCCAGCTCCACACCCAGCGCCGCCGCACGAACAGCGGCGCGCGCAGCTCGTGAGCGATCGTGAGTGACCGTGGGCGCGGCGACGTTCACGGCCGGCCAGCTGGGGCAAGAGGGGGTGAGGGGGGGGGGGGGGCGAGGCGGACTTCTGTGCGTCACGCTCGGGGCATTGGCACCACGTGACGCTGAGGACACACCTGGACGCGTCCATCCCGGGCCTTTCCCCTGCCCTGGCCTAGACTCACAGCATCCTTATTTCACAACTCATTCATGACGGCTACAATTCTGTTCTTGCCAAATACGACGCGTTAAAATGGTTCGTCTGCGCCGTCCGTCGCGTCCTGGGTGTTCCTAGCTGCACCCGTGTGACCGTGACTCTCGGTGACTCGGGGGTGACTCCCGACGCTGTGCCCATGTGGCCGTGACTCCCGGTGACTCTGGGTGACTCCCGGCGCTGCGCCCGTGCGGCCGTGTCTCCCGGTGACTCCCGATGTTGCGCCCGTGTGACCGTGACTCTGGGCGACTCCCGACGCTGTGCCCGTGTGGCCGTGACTCCCAGTGACTCTGGGTGACTCCCGACGCCGCGCCCGTGTGGCCGTGACTCGAGCGGAAGGCCCCGTGGCGGTCACGGACAGACGGCCGGCGCGATTCAGGGGGCGTTAATGAGATGTACGTGCTTGCCTCCAGCGGGCCCGCTAGCGCTGTTAGACTTGCAAATAGAGGCGACCTCTCGGCTTATTTGCACGATGATCCGACGGGCCGCCGCCGATGCGAGATCGCCGCGCCCACTCGCACAGTGGGCCGCACCATATCCAGGTATGGCTCCGCCTGGCTGAGCACCGGCTCCCAACACGGCCCTGCCGACATGCAAGAGCCGAACCGGGCCGGACGGGGCGAGCTGCAGGGGCGGGGAGCCCGCCCACGGGGGCGGGGGGCGCTCCTCCGCCCCCGCGGCGGCCCCACGCGCTCGGCGCTGGCCGCTGTTGACTGTGCGCGGCCGACGTGGGATGATGCGCGACCTTGCCGTGTTCGGATGGGCGCGTCAGGTGGGGCTGAGTCAGCCCGGCCGCCTGTGTGTCGGAAGGCGCGCCGGAGATGGGGCTGGCGCGGTCGCCGGGCGATCGGGGAGGCGCGGAGCGGCGTCTGAGATGGCGCCGCGGCGCGGACGGACGTCGTCTCGGGGCGGCAATGTCAGATCGAGATGACAGTGTCAGCGGTCGGCTGACAGCGCGTGGATTGATGTGGGGGCGGGGCTGGAGACACGTTTCGTCTTGCGACCCGCAGGAAGTGGATCGCGGATGGCAAAGTGAGACTGGTGGCAGCAGGCGGACTTGCAGAGGGGAGTTGAGATCTCGCCGCGCGCGCGTTCAGTCCCATGTTGCCCATATTGAGTCAGCAATGTCCGGAGCTGCTCTGTGGTAATGGTAACGGCTGGCTGCTTCAAATGCTCTTCCGCAATGCCTTGGCTTGCCCCAGACACGTCTGGCGTTATTCTGCAGGGTAATGTCTGCTCATTGCATTCCGTCTGCAGCTGCGGCACGCCTTGTCTGGGTGGGTGTTGTTTAGCCTCCCTCAGTCCCGACCCCGCCTCGCGCGATCGTGTCTGGACCAGCGTCGGCTGACTTCACACGGGCGTCCCCGACGCGTCGCGTTCGACGCCCGTCGGCGTCGGCGTCGGTGCCGGCGCAATCGGCCGGTGCTCTCCGCCGGTGCGTGCGTGCAGTCTCCAGCCTCCGCCGCCGCCGCCGCGCCGCCGCCACCGCCGCGGCGGCGCCGCTGGGTCAGCTGATCGAGACAGCTGTTTACGAGCCGGCGGCCAATTCGCGCCAATTTCACCCGGTTATGGCGCGCCCTCCCACGCGCGGTTGGGCCGCTCTCGGCGTTCGGCGACTGTGGGCGCCGCTTGGCAGGCGGCGTGCTGTCGCGTGCCCTGAGGCGCCAGATGTCGCCGGCGGGATTGAGCCGCCAGGTCGAAAGATCTGGGCTCGACTCTCGTTGTTGGAAACTTTTATTGGCTCGGGTCGCCATCATGAGTAACGGGGATAATGACATCAGCGGTTGCATGTGGTAGCCGACAGAACATCGCGTCTGAGATCGAGTAGAAATAGTGTCCGTTCGTCCCTGGAGTGAAATTTGCTCCGTGCTCAATGTTCGCACGTCCGGGCCTCGAACGAAGATGAAGCAACGGGATCTGGGCGGAAGGCTTCGCCGCACCAGCGACGAAATTGCTGGTGATGGAGGGCACGTTTTTGTTCCTGATCGGGCAGAGCGCCATGTGGGTGGAAGAGTGTGGGGGTCGCTGATTGGACGAGATTGCTGTCGCTGGGCCGATGGACACCTCTGGCTCCCAGGCTTCCGCTCCGAGGCGTGGGTGGAGCAGGTCTGCTCGATGACAGAATAGAGCCGTTGCTACCGGCGCCGGGTGGAGTACACGTTTGCTGTCTGGGGACCTGGGAGCCCCGGTTCAGCCGCCGGGCCGTGCGGTCCGCCCGCGCGCCGCGGGCCTACCTCAGCCCGTCTGGGTGGAGCTGCCGGCGGAGTCGAGCTGCTGGGGCGCGCCTCTGCTCGGCCCGTAACGGGAGGGTAACCGCCCGGCCCGAGGCCCAGGCGGAGGCCGCGCCGGCCGAGCCGGCCGACGGTGGCGGCGGCCGACCGGCGCGCGACGCGGTCCTCCTGGATGGCGGTGATGGATCGGCGCACTGGGCCGCGGCGGCTCGGGAAGAGTTGGCGGCGCCGCTGCGGCGCCGATGCCCGTCAGAATGCGCCCCGTCACGTCCGAGCCGCGGACGGGCGACCCGCCGCTCTCGCGCTCTCGCCTCTCCGCCCCTCGCCGCCTCTCGCCGCCACCGGGCCGTCCGCCGACGAGTGGCGGGCGCCCGTGTTGTGGCGTCCGGTTGGCGGCCGAATGGCTCGCGCTTGCGACCGCGCCGAATTGAACGGAAGGCCCCAATGGACGCCCGGGCGCGCCCGGCCGCCGCGCTGAATAGACGCGACAGCGCGGTCGCCATCTCACCCAGGGCGGACGCCGAGCCCTCTGCGTCTCCCGGCTCGGCGACAGGCCGGGCTTAGCCGGCCGCGGCGAGTCGGCGGAGTCGGCGTGTCGCTGTCAGGCGCGGTGCGCGTTTTTGCGGTCGCTGAGCGATGCGTGTGGCGCGCCGGCCGGCCGAGAATGTGCGATCCCATCATCGTTGCGCCGACAGACGATATGTCAGCGCGGCCGGCCGGTGGGTCTGTCGGTGGGTCTGTCGGGTGGAGGCGGAGGCGGCGCCGCGTGGGCGCCGGGGCACTGCAGGGCCCGTGATTACAGCGGCCGTGAACCGGCTGCGGCCGCCACGACTGCCGCGGGCGCCAGCTCTTGGCTCCGATACGATCTCTATTTACTGCCGTTGATTCGGCGCTGCGCTGTGGTGCATCGCAACAGCGGCTGCTCCGCGGCCAGGCTCCCTGTCCTTCAGTCCTCCGCTCCTCCCGCTCCTCCCGCTCCTCCCGCTCCTCGTGCATAGCCGGCGCCGTGTGACGCGGCGCCGGCCGTGCCGCCTCGGCTCCCACATATGGTGATGGCTGTCGAGGGGGCGGGTCTCCGCCAGCGGTCGGCCCCCGCAGCCGGGCGCCCGGCCGGCCGCCCGCCGCCCGGCCGGCGTCCAGTCGCTCGCGGCCCCGCATCGCGTACAGACGGTGCGTCACGGCTCCCGACCGGCCGGGCTCCGGCGGTGGCGGCGGCGACGGCGGGCGCACCGCTGGCCCGACCATGTGTTGGGTCGGCGGTGCGACCGGCGCCGCCGCCGCCGCCGCCGCCGCCGCCGTCGGCTGCCGCTCAGTTTATTTGCTGCGCTGTCTGTTGTGCTGCGTTGTGTCGTGTCGTGTTGTGTTGTGTCTTGCCGCGTGTGAGTGACCCCGGTTTCTCGCCCGGCAGTGTGATGAAGTGGTCCCTGTGACTCTGAAGACGTTCCGCACCGAGCTCAGTAGTGCGCCCGCCACCGCCGTCGCCGCCGCCGCCGTCGACGCAGACGTCATGGACAGCAGGAGGGGTCGTCCGCACCGTCACCTCCCGCAGGTCAGTCCCTGCCGCCGGCGCATGTCCGGGCCGCCGCCCGTGGACTCCCTGGGTGCAGGGTGGTCGGCGCCCGGGCGCTGGGAGGCTCGATGGTCCGTATCCCTGGGCCGTCCGTCATCTGGCGCCGCGCTGTTTCTTCTCATGGGCTGAGGCGATATACTTCATCGGTTCATTTTTCTACGTCCCTTGCATCGCGGGATCGGCCGGAACCCGGCCCCGCCTCGAGAACTGCTGTCTCACAGCTGGTGCGGGGGCGTTCTGCAGCCGGCAGACTCCCGGAATCTCACGCGCGATAGCGTCCCGCCAAAACGAGCCCGCCACGCCGCGCGCTGCACCGCCGTGTGCTCGTCCCTGTCCGCTCCTGTCGGAACGGGTCGTGACCTTTCCCCGCATGCCTCTGGCAATGACATGACGGACGTTGGTAACCGGGCGGCGACACGCGACGGGAACTCCTGGGGAGGGCTGCAGCGTGCTCCGTCCAAGCCCGGGCTGGTCCGGGCGGGCTGGTGGCGGCCAGGGCGTGTCCGGGTGGGTGACGGCGTGGCGGAGCCCCGCCCGTTGCGCCCCGACTCGCGCCCGGTACAGTTCCGGCGCATGGACGGTTTGGCTCGTGTTTTTTGCAGCGAGTCACGACTCGAGGAGTAAAAATGGCCAATCGTGGGCAAGGGTCTGGGAAAGAGGTGCAGAGTGAAGCAACGCTCCGCAGCCGTAGCCGTGTTAGGACGGCAGCTCTGTAGAATCCGTGCTCTACATGGGGATAATTTTAACCCTGCCACAACTCTGCGCCGTTTTTGGTCTCGTGCTCAGAAAGTCCCTTTCCCAGTCTATCAGCTGGAATCTATCGCCGCCAGAGGATGAGCGCTGCACGCCATGCCCGGTGCAGCGTCGCTATCGGTCCGAACATCAGCGCTCCCGCTTGCGGTGTGATCCCCCGGCCGTGGTGGTCGGTGGGCGCGGCCGCCCGGCCGGCGCGCTGACGTCACCCGTTCGGGGTTTGTTTGCGGCGAGGCGGCGCTGTGGTCTCGTCCCTTCCTGCGATCCATCTATCGCCGAGCAGCGCGCTGGACAGCCGCTCAGCGGTCACGCCAGGCCTTCCACGCATGCGGAGCTCTCTGAAGTGTGACGGCATTAGCGTGGTTACGTAAGAATGAAATCATTGGCGCGGCTTTCCGCCGTGCAGCGCGCGCTTGCAGGGATTGTGAGCGCCGATGGAGTTAAGCCGTATAGTGCGGGACCGGCGTTTGCGTCGGTTTCGTTCTCTGAAGGTGCCTCAAGCGCAGAGATGGTCTAGCCGGGACGACTTCTATCCCGCTCGCCCGAGATGCGTCGCTGCTCCGCCCTTGTCGCGGTGCCGGGCGCGCCCTGCTCCCAGCTCCGCCCCCGCCGCGCCCCTGCCGCGAACGAGTGCGCCATTGTCAGTGGGCGGGCGGGTGTTTGCTGCGTGGGCGGCGTTGCGTGCAGCCGCTCTGCTCGGCTCTGGCCGGCAGCGGCGACCTCGGCGTCTCGGCGGCGGCGAGCAGCCGCTGGTCGAGCTGGTCGCTGCTGGGCGACGCCCCGCGGCTGCTGGTTATCCCGGCGCCGCCGGCGGCAGCGCGCGGCGGTGATGGACGAGCTCCATCACGGGCCGCGTGGTCCGTTGGCCGTGACCGCCGGGTCACGGGCAGAGGTCAGGCTGCGCCGCGTCAGCTTCGCTCTTCGCCGGCGCGGGCCTGTGTCAGGTCGTGACAGGTGCGTGGGTCCCGATGAAGACGAAGTCCCGGTCGCATGTGGGACAATTTTGCTGGCTGCGCTCGGGGCGTGCCGCTGGCTCGCCGGTTGTCGTAGTGTGGCACGTTGTCTTCGAGACACACATGGTTGTGTCGGGGGGAGGGGGGCGGGGGGCGATCTTCTCGACGGCCGCCGATGGATCGCGCAGTCTTGGCGAACGATGTCGGTCAGCTGTCTGTAGCCGCAGCTCTTTTCCGTCACGCCTCCTCGGGCAGCACCAGCCAGCCGTGTGCTCAGACCCCCCCCCCCCTCTCCTCTGCCTCCTTCCCCTTCCGCCGCCGCTCGGCGCCCCTGCGTCGGCAGCCGTGGCCCGCTCCACGTCTGGAAGAGGCACGGTCCGAATTGGTTCCGTGGTCCGGGGTCGCCGGCCGGCCGGCCTGTTTTGGGCCGGGTAATTGGGCGCGTGCCTCTGACCGGGTCGGGAGGAGGCGAGGCGAGGCGCGCCGGCCGGCCGGTCGGTGCCGGACGCCCACGCTGCACGGCGCCGACCGTGCAGCCCATGACCGCCCGGCTCGTCCGCGAAACCGGCCGACACAATTGCAGGAAGCGGGCCGCTTGCTGGCGACGTTCGCGGTACTCGACGCGCGGTGCATTGTGGCGGCCCGGTGACGCGGCTGACGTGACCTCCAGCCACCTGCCGCCGCAGACGAGGGTCGTCGGCGGCCGGCCGTGGGCGGCGGCCGCGCTCTCCGGGCTATCTGATGCGCGCCCATGGCGCATTGGCGTCGCGCTGAATGAAAGCCAGGCGCGCCGAAAAAGCGCCCCCTGGCGGGCGGGCCGGACGGGCGGTCGGCGCGCCCTGCCGTGCCGCCGCCGCCGCCGCCCCCGCCTGCGGGCAAAAACGCGCCGTCGCCGGCCGGCCGACCTGGGGTCGCCTGATCACAGGCGGTGGCGGCGGCGCGGCCGCCGGACACATCACGACCGGCGGTGGGTGGCGTTTTTGCGAGCGGGCCGGCGCGTCCCGCGAACTTTCTCCCGCCGGTCCGCGGCGCGGTATTGCTCAGGTGTCGGTCACTGGACACGGCGCCGCGGGCCGACGACGAGGCGCGAGGATTGATGGATGGGTCTTCCTCTGGGGCCGGGAGCGAATAGTGAAACACGGCCGGGCGACGCGCAGGACGTTCCTCAAGCGCCGGGAATGATGCCGGTAAAACGGCCGGGAAAGTGATTGGTGTCGATGCGTGGAATGCACCGCGCCCCACGCGTTCGTGCCACGTCACACTGAATGTTTCGTGTGTCACTGTCAGGCGTTGCAATCATCAGCGTTAATGTCAGCGCGGCGGACGATGACAGTTCATCTGTGCCGCTGAGTCACCGCTGACCTCAACGCGCGGCGCCGACAACGCCGACTCACGGCACTCCACTACCACGCGGCGGGAGAGGAACCGCCCGTAAATCGGCACCGCCAGAACGATCTGCCTTCGTGGTACGTTTGGCCGGTTTACTCCACATTGTACCCGGCCCAGCGCGTGGTCAAGAGTGGTGTGTGTGTGAACGACAGGCCGGCCGCCCAGCTGGGGCGCTTTTGTCGGCGCCGCGTCGGAATGCGCGGCTCGTCGCCATATGGTCTCGGGTCGCGCCATCCCGTATTCGCTGGCGGGGCGCGCGCCTTGCGTAACGGGCGGCCCGGATGAATGGACAATGGCGCACCCCCTAGATGGTAATGTGGACACCGACCGCTGCAGGAGCCTCCAGGAGCCGCGCCATTAGCATTCGCGGGCAGCGCGCCGCTTGCGCAAATGATCACGGCGTCGGCGGGGCTGCTGCCTCACGCTGCTACCAGCGGACTCGCGCGGGGCGTCCGCCGCGGTGCGCTGCTGCGACCCTGGCCGGGCAGTGACTGGGGTGTGACCAGGCGTGGTCGCGGGCGTGACCGCGGGCGCGGCCGGGGGCGGCGGCGCGGGGGCGGCGCCGCCGGCCGCGGCTCGGCGTGTGGCGTCGCCGGGCGCAGGCCACGTGCGGCCAGCGACGGGCCTGACGCGGTCCTCCGCGTGTCGGCCGGCGGGGCACGCGTCCCTCCGCCGGCGGCGGCCCGTATCGGGTGGCGGACGGACCGGCTCGCCCGCGCCGACACCGTGGGAGCCGCGGCCCCGGCCGCCGCCAGAGCGCCCAGACGGGCTCAGGCATCGGCGCTGGAATGCAGTGGAGCGGGCGGGGGGGGGGGGGGGAAGGTCTGGTGTGACCCTCTCACTTTCAGATAAAATTATCAGTAAACATGTGACAATGTAGAGAGATGTTTTCACTGGAACACTGTACAGCCGCCATTTTCTGGGGCATTCGCACGCCGCTGGACTGACCGGACCGGACCGTGCGCCCCACCAGCGTCTCATGCAGACGGCTGGGGCGGAGACGCCCTGATCGAGTCTGATGGGGCCGGTCCGCCTCCGGATTTTTGGCATTTCAATTAGAGCCCACCCAAGGCCCACCTTCACGCTGACGGGCGTTCGCGGCAGGGCCGTGGCTCGAAGTCACGCAGGTATACACGGTGGTCGTTCTTTTTTTTCACGTCTGTCGGATGGTCGGCGACGGCGGCCAGCATTGCCGTTGCATTTGTCCTCGAGAAACTTAGGCGATCTCGTGCGATGGCGTTTGGCCTCGAGTCGAGCCGGGCGTTCATTGATGGCCGATCATGTATGGAAGCCAGTCCAATCTAGCCCCGTCGGGAAAGTGGAGAGCATGATATCTTGCAGAACCGGTTATGATGGAGAGATGTGTTGCATCGCCATGATGTTCATGAATGATATCAGTCATGGATGTCGTTTATGATGGTCCGACCTGACCTGACCTGACAGAAACTGAACTGACCTTATCTGACCTGATACGACCGACCCGATCGGACCGTACCTCTTGACTGGTGATCTCATGACCCGACCTGACCTGACCCTGGCCGGATGGATCTCACTTCCCTAACTGACATGAGTACTACTACGTGACATGTCATGGCCCTAACTAATCTCACCTGATCTCGGCCGACCTGAACTGACCTGATCTGATCTGATCTGATCTGATCTGATCTGATCTGATCTGATCTGACCTGACCTAACCGAAACCCGGGCCAATGACCCCTGCACTCACCCCTTCCGTGGCACTAACGCGACGTCAGATCCGGTCTGGCTGCCGGCCACTTCGACGGTCGGGACAGCTCCATGACCAGTCAGACCGCCGCGCGGTGCCAGGCTCGCTTCAGTCTCTGCCGCTCACGCTCTGGCGACCGTCAGCTGGCGACGGCGATT